TGTGAGGGGTAGGTGGAATGGTGGAGAAGACATGCTGCTGCCCAATCACAACTTGTTAAAATTACGGATTTTCCTATTATCTTCTATGGAGAACACTCTGATCCCAGGAGACACAAACATGGGTGTAATGGGACCTACAAAGGTTTTGTAGACTGTATGAGACTATCAATTACATTCAAAGTTGAAAGACATGGAAATTATTAGTGTGCTAGTTTGTGGAAAGGGAAGGAAAATGCAGGGCAGAAAGAGAGAAGAAATTAGTCAAGGCCATAAATTAGTAAAATATGGGGGTATATAATACATGGATATATTAGTGAAATAAACCCTTCAAGAACCACTTCTTGCCTCCACTAGCAGTAAAATCCTTAGCTTTGAAGCAGGCAGGCAGGCAGACAGTCCCAAACCTGAACTCTCTAATACTCTATATCACAGCAGGGGAAAGCTGCTGGAAGGTCAAGTTCTGTCCCTCTACCCTTCTTCCAAATGTCCTAACATCAACATTACATTCTCCTGTTCTACACTGGCTGGAATCTTAAAAAGTACTTCTCTTTGGGATAGGGATACATTGCAACATTTTTTGCAGAGTCCCATTTGTTCCCTTTAATTGCAAAGCCAATCTTGGGCTTTTTATTTGGAACCAAAAGAGAGAAATCAATGATATCTCTTGATATGTTGGAGAACCTTCAAGATATGGAGAACAATTACGTCCCAGAACAGAAAAAAGGCCCTCAAAAGATTGCTGCTCTATTTTGGAATCTTAGCTACATAAGCACAGTACATAGCTGTAAACCCTCAGTCTGCTAATTTACCATTTATATTCACTCTGTTCTGTTACTCTTGAAGCAAGAAATGTACATACTTTCTGCCCCCACTTCTGTCCCTCGTGTTATCAGGCAGACAATTTAAAGAGGAAGTTATTACACTACTTACCCAGATAGGTGACCTTTTGATCAGGCTACTAGCCAGAAAGACTCTTGAACTCTCCTTCTGGCTTAGGGAAGAATGTGAAATCTCCCTTGATGGTAAAACTTTCTAGTGCCTAACCTCCAGTGAGGGAAATTTCCCTGCTCTTCTCTTGCTCGAAAGAATCACAGGACTGTTTTGATCATGTACTAATATTTATGCATAACTCTTAACTACACCACTTTTTAAGTCCTTATATTTAAATATAGTGTATTGCATCTTGTTTTGTTTTTATAGAATTAGCAATTAGAATTTTGTTTTTATAGAATTATCTATAATCCTATAGCAAGAAAAGCTATAGGATTATAGATATACACACTGAGTACATCCAATGAAATTATGTTTCTCAAGCTAATTTCTTGAGACAGCTGGATGACAGCAACTTGAAGAATGATAGCGAGCTAACCGAGGATGTGCTTATTGAATGAAAATCAATTATTGCTCCTCACTAGAGGTAGTAAAGTAGGTAGTACAATGATGAAAGTTAATATAAGTTAACAGAAGCTGAATGGCATCAATTCCCTTTACACTCCCTTCCATCTCAGAGGACAGGGAAATATTTCCATTGGCATCCTGTCTTAATTTTATGGTAGGCCATTAAAAGTATCACATTAGTCAGTATTGTTCCCCACCCATTGAGAAATGCAAAAGGTACAGTGCCTTGCAGATGTATTTACACCCCCCTCGCCATTTAGCTTGTCCACCCTTACTGGTTGTATAAATATTCACCTTCCCGAGTCAAAACTTAATAGTAGCAACTTTGCCAGTAATTGCAGCTGAAAATCTTCCTGTGTAAATCTCTATCAGGTTTGCTTATCTGGATTCTCCAATGTTTGCCTTTTCTTCCTGGCAAAAACACACTGTCAGGTTGGATGTGGACCACTAATGAACAGCACCTTCCAAGTCTTTCTGCAAACTCTCAGAGAAAAGTCTGGGTTTGAATGGACTATTTTAAGCATTCAGGTTCTTGTTTCTAAAGTAATCAATTGTTGCTTTAGCTGTATGTTTAGGGTCACTGTCCTACTGGAAGATGAGCTTCTACCCTGCTCCCAGGTACCTTGCAGACTTAAACAGATTTTTTTCCCCCTAAAACCGCCCTGTCTTTGGCTCCATCTGTCTTGACCTCAAATCTGATCAGCGACCTAGCCTCTGCAAAATAAAAGCATCCTGATGCCTCCACCACCATCATGCTTCATCATGGGGATGATGTTTTCAGGGCAAATAGACACAGCTGGCTTTGTGCCACACATAGTGTTCTGAAGCAAGGCCAAAAAGTTGAATTTTGGTTTCAGCAAGACAGAGAACCTTTTTCCACATGTTTGCTGACCCTTCATCACGTCTTCCAAATGTTCTTTGATACTGACTGGTTTCAGCAATGGCTTTCTTCTCAACAGTCTTTAATAAAACCCAGCTTTGTGGTAGATCTCAGTGATAGCCATCTCATCAGCAGTTTCTCCCATCTCAGCTGCAGATCTCTCTGGTTCCTTTAGAGGTGGTTAGTTCAACTGGAATAATATAGTTCAATATATATAGGAATAATATAGTTCAACTGTCTCTCAAAAACTTGCACATTGAGTTTTTGAAACAGTTGAACTATATTATTCCTATTTTGTAGTAACAGATTTAATGGTGCTCCAGGGGAAATTTATAGCTTGGATATATTTTTATAACCCAACCCTGATTGGTTGTTCTTCACAACTTTACCCTGAAGTTTTTTTGATAGCCCCTTGAACTACTTGATGCTGTTTATTTAGATATGCCCTCCAACAAACTCTGGGTCTCCCAGAAACAGGTGTATTTTATCTGTGACCCTGTGGTACTAAAAGTGCACACAGGTGGGATCCATTCAACTACTTAACAATACTCTAAAAGCAGTTGGTTGTATCAGAGCATATTTAGGCATGTCACAGCAAAGGGGGGGTTAAAAACTTATGCAACCAATAAGTGCCAGATTTTTTTTTACTTAACTTTTATGTCACAATAAAAATATTTTGTACCTTAACATCATTGGCATCTTGTGTACATCAAGTGCTAACAATGACAATTCAATCTATTTCAATTCTAGGTTATAACACAACAAAATGGGGAAAAGGCAAGATAAGAACCTTGTATGATTTCCTGTTTTTCCTTGTGATGCTCTTTTCTACTTTAACCTTCACCCTACCAACTTGCATGTGTGTTTCTGTCTTTCATACAACTTGATCCCCATTTTTCAACCTGTTCCCAATTAAGTTTGTTTCTTGCCTTGGATTGTTTGTGTTTTGCTAGACTATAGTGAGTTTGGGCATAAAATTCTATCTGTGGAGACTAGTTAGTAAAAAAGAATTAGGGGAAGACAGAGCAAGGCAAACTGTCCTCCCACCCCAATAAGTGTGTGTGTGTGTGCGTGTGTGTTACCCACAGGTTGAGATCCTACCAAGAAATCAAAGCAAGTTTAATCCCTACTGGCAGTCAGGTCCATTTTTGTTTCATACTAACACTCATGTAGATTTGGGGTTCAGTGTGATTTATTGGTAACAATTTTCAAAAATCCTTAATTGTAAAAAAATCTTAGCAGATTCTTCATTAAATTTTTGCTGTGCATATATTTTAAAAGTTATGTAATAAGACAGGTAGTATTTTAGCATTTACAAGTTTTAAGAACCAGCTTTGCCTTTAGATCTGAGCAAGTATCTTCTACAAAGTACAAAGCAGCAGTAGGGAACATGTGGCCCTCTGCCTATTGTTGGATTGCAGCTTCCAACATCTGTTACCACTGTCTATGCTGGCTGTGGCTGATGGGAGCTGCACTCTAAGAATATTCAAATAGGCACACACTCTCCACCCTGGTATAGTGTCCCATTCAATATTTCATGTTCTATCCTAGCAATCCCTGGGAGCTGAATACTCTTGGACAACTTTCAGCTTTAATTAATCTATAGAACTTAAGCATTTATAACCTGAAGCTCCTGAAGCTCTACCCTCAGTATAACAACTGAAAGCATAATAAAATCCAAATGATGCAAGGATGCTGGGAAGCATTGTGATGAGCTCAAAACAGTCTCTGGTGGTTTAAGATGAGATCACCAAGAGGTGGCAATGCCCATTCCCGACTACCAGCAGAACTGCCTGGCAGTTTTGTGCGTCAACCTCCAAGGCACACAGGGTATTGTTCTTTACCCTCCAGGTCCTGCCATTAACAAATTGCACCACACCTTCTTTTTAAAGCCTCACTTCAACGTGTTTCTGTTCGTGATGACTGATACAGCAGGGGCAGAAGCCTCCCCTCATTCCCCCAGAGACCTCAAAAACGAAGAAGTTGATACAGTATGCTGGGCTTCCCCTAGGCAACGTAAGAAGTAAACATGAACTCTTGAACCCGGACCGCCTGGCGAACGCACACCTTAGGAGCAGGAGAAAATAGCACAGCAACTTTCCCCGCTCATACCCGTCTCTTGGTGGAGAAGGCATTCATGGGGCTGGAATAAAATACTGCTCGCTCCTGCCACGCTAAAGCCTTACTTCGTGGCGGAGGAGAGGAAAGAAAAATGCCCCAGTCGCAGAGAGCGAGCGAGCGAGCGCGCGCGCAAGAAGCGTGGCTTAGAGTTACACAGTAGTCCAATGTCTCACACTCACACAGTATCTCACACTCCTCGGCCTTCGCTACCTCCTAAAACAACGTTTTTTGCCCCCTCTCCTGCCTTTACTGCCCCCTCATTCTCCTCACAGCCTTCCTGACCACATCACCCACCCCACTGTTCCGCCCTACGGCGACAGGGCTCACTGGGGCCCTAGTGCTCCCCTACTGGCGGGCCCAAGGCTAAAGACGCGTCTCTCTCGCCCTCCCCACCCCCAGGAGGCTTCCCTTCTCCGCCCCGCACGGCGCCCTGCGGAAGGAAAGCCGCCCCCCCGCCTCGAGGAAGGCGACGGCGCCCCGAACATGCCCCGCGGGTGCGAAGGGAAACCAAGGCCTCGTCTCAATCCCCGGCCTTTCCTGGCGCAGCCCCCCTTCCTCTCTCCCGCGCAGAAAGAGTGGCGGGAGGACGGACCCTCCTTACCTGGGTTTGAGGCTGCCGGCGCCCCGTTCGTAGGCCCAGGCGGTGGTGGGTTGCGAGGACGCCGCGGCGGCGACCGAAGCCAGCGGATCCGGGTAGCTGGGGGCTGGTGGGTAGTTCCTGTCCATCATCGGAGCGGGAAAGGAGGGGACGCCGGGGCTCCGCTTAGGGCCTGAGCACGCGAGAGGAGAAGGGAACGGGGGAGGGTGGCGGCAGCAAGGACCGAGCAGGGTGGGAGCGGCTCCCCCTTCCCGCTCACAGGAGGAGGGCAGCAATAGTGGCGGCGGCGGCGGCGGCCACCCCCCCACCCGGTCCTCCCCTCAATTTCCGCTGCGAGGGGCGGGAGCGCGGTTTGGAATCAGGGGAGCTGGAGCTGCGTACGGCAACCGAGTTGGCAGCGGGGGCTGCAGGCAGCCTAGCTGGAGACCCATCTCCGCTGGCGGCGGCTTTCCAGGATGCCCCTCCCACCCCTCCACAGTTTACTGGGGCTGATGGGCTCCAGGGCACGGGAAGCGGCAGCAGCGGTTGCTGTTGCTCTTCCTGCCGCTGCTGACGCTCAGGAGCGAGAAGAGAAGGCAGCCTGACCTCCAGCGCATAACTAGGAAAGAAACCGAGCTGGAATGCAGACGTTAAGAAAGAGAGCTTGCCTAAATTACTTCGGTAGCGGGGGAACGAAATATTTGGAGTTTCTGCCCCTTCTTGAAGTTTCCATCTGCTCGCATTCTAATGACGAATGTGGACGAAATGCTTTGACGGAATTCCGTGGTGTTTTGTTGTTGTCTAGCGGGGAATGCTTTTACACCTGCGTCTGTGCTTGTGCGTGTGCGTGTGCGCGCGCAGGTGAAATGCTTTCCATGAGTGAGCTAAAAAATGTAACGTGTGAATTGACCTTCGTGACTGTGCAGACCCTTCGACTTCGCAAGTCATATGCTGTGGCAGCTTCTCCGCTGCAGGCTTCTTGCTATGCTATTCTACTATTCAACTTGTATATCAAAGGGCTTTGAAGTGTCCCTATACTCATGCAAACAGTAATGTCACACACTAGTGTACAATGCAGCGTGACTAAGAGCTCTAGGGTTGTTTGTTTCTGGACAATCGGTGAAATGTCTCAAAATGTCACATACACATAAATGGTTGGGTAGAAAAGTGATGTACTACTTCACACTGCAGGTGGGCAAATGAAACTCATAACGATGTATCCTCAAGACTGTTCATGCAATACCTACTCACTTATGAAGGCCCAAGCAATATATTTATGTGCATGTGGAAGTAACCACTGCAAATTTCTGTGACTGGACTGCGCTTTTGTTTTTGTAATCTGATGCTACTCACATGCTTTTTGTAAGATCTAGCCTGATGAAGAGTTCATTTTCGTGGAATTTTAGTTGGAAATAGCATTATGGCCTTTGAATTTATTTATTGCATAGTCTGGGTTTTTGTAAGGAATGGAGCAGTTTATTGATGCAGGCAAGCCATAATAAATTGTCACCTGTACCTTGAGGGCTACTGTGTCATGAGCTTTCTACACAGCAAGCATTTCTGTGTAAGAAATAAAACAAACTTCATTGAGACTGACACACATGATGGTTGCACTCAAAGTTGCATCTACAAGCACCAAGAAGGTCATTGATCTTTGTAGCCCAGTCCTAATTGTTGTTATTACCTTGCATTTATATCCTTTTTTCCTCCTGTGAGGAACACAAGGTGACTTACATAGTTCCATTTTATCCTCACAGCGACAACCGTGTAAGTTAGACTGAGAATGAATGACTGGCCCAAAGTATGCTTCATGACCGAGTGGAAACTAGAATCTGGACCCAGCCCAACACTTGAACTACCACACCATCCATACATCTCTGCTTATGTGTGTATTGTATATGTTTCAACAAAATCACGTACAATCACCATGCATGGTAATAAGTATGTTGTGTGTAATTTCTGGCATAGAAAAACCATACCATTGTATATTCAGGTACATTCTTGAACACAACAGGTACAACATTCTTGCCCCATGTAGTATGATGCATATTACAAACAATATATCTGAAAGATTGTTCAGTCACATGCAGCACCTGGGGTAAAGCACTGCCACTGTATGCTGCAAAGAAAATGTAATGATGAGGTTTCACAGGGCAAAGATTAACATAGGAGAAGTGTAGCTAATGAGTACTGGATGGCTATAGGAAAATGCAGAGCCCCAGGTCTGACCTTGGAGTTGCGCTCTGAAATTGAATGAGGATGAGCACCCTCCCTTGCAACTGGTGTTTGTGGCTCTGAAGTTGCAAGTGTGACTTTGGGCAGGGAGGGTAGGAATGGATTTCCACCTGGATAAATACAATCCAGTAGTGCCTCAGTTTATGAGCTGGGCTGAAAGAGGCCAACATCATTCATCTAAAGAGTTTGGAATAGATACCAAAGACACTGAAATTAACAATAGTAAATAGGCATCAAACTTTCAGCACCATCCAGTGTAGCTGCATATATCTTCTGAACTCAGTAAATCACATTTCAGTAGATGCCTGTGATCCTTCAATTTTGGAAGGTTAAAAGTAGCTGGCACTGGATGGCACTGGAAGTCATCTTTGATAGCAATGTCATTGGTCTGTAGGAAACAGGCAGAGAAAGGACTGGGATTATCTGTAGTGATCCTGCTGACTGCATCTATGTGTATATTATTTGTTTCCAATATGTACTGTTCCAATCTAATTCCAGAGTAGTGAGCAATAAAATACAAAAGAATAAAACATATTAAAATTGTTTTTCAAAACAGTTCCAATACAAACCATGGTCTGTCAGTCAAGGAAGACTTCTTAAAATATATTTTCAGGAAGTGCCAAAAATAGCACAATAGTGGTGCTTCTTCATCCTTCACATTCTGTATCTTCCACATTTCAGTGATAGCAATGGAAGCAGCACACTAAAGGCTCTTCAGGTCGATTTCAGTCAAGCTATAGGTCTGTCTGGAACCACCTGGATCATGCTATCTGATGACCTCAGTAATTGGGTGGGTTGGTAAGGGAGAAGTTGTTCTCTCAGGTATTCTGCTCCCAATCTGTTTACACCAGTGCACACACCTTAAAGCTGATCTGGTAGTGAATAGGCTTCCAGTGCAGTTCTCTCAGCACAGGAGCTCTATGTTCAAAAGGGACAACTGACAACAGCTAAGCTAATGCATTCTGCGCTAGCTCCCATTTCTGGACCAGTCTTAAGGCAGCTTGGCACAGAGTATATTGCAGTAATCTACACAAGCTATCCCTCTCCCAGAAAGACTGTAGCTGGCAACCCAGCCAAATGTGTTAAAGGTACTCTGAACCACCTTGGCCACTTGGGCTTCCAGTGGCAGTGATGGATTTAGGAACACCTCCAAACTAGAAACCTTACCCCCTCTAGAACAGGCAATGAGCCTGGACTAAGAAAGCACTCACTCTCAGGGCTTCTGTCTTGCCAGGATTCGGCTTCATCACAGAGCTCAGCCTGTGCTCAGGCCATCACAGGGAGACACCCCACTGATGGGACTTGGTGCAAAATCCCCTAATGACCACTTTCAGCAACATAGGTTATGAACAACACTGGGGACAAGGTGAGACCCTCAGGAACCCCATAACTGAACTGTCAGGGAGCTGTAGAAGAGTGAATGGTAGAATGAAATAAATAATTCAATGTTATTCTTTGAAATGCACTCCACAAGACAGACTGGAACTACTGTAATGGTTGGCCCAGTATAATTAATACCAAAGTCGAAAGTATGAAAAGCTGATGAGAGGCTGATCAGAATTAACAGGCCTTCCCTTTTCCTGTCCTCCTGCCCTAATCATCCATTAGGACAACTAAAGAAGTTTTGGTTCTGCACCAGGTTAAAACTCAAACTGGAATGGAATTAGATAAACAGTATCTTCCAAGAGTACCTCTTGTTGCTCTGCCATGACCCTTGCAAGTGCATTCCAGAAGAAAAGGGTATTGGCAACTGGGTGGTAGTTGTCAAATGCCACTGGGCTCAGAGTGTGTTTCTCCAGAAGTGGTTGCACTACTCCTTAAAGACAGTAGGAACTAACCCTTCAGATACTGACTCCTTGCACCCACCCAATCATACTTCCTCAGCTGGCTTTTATTAGGAGGGTGAAACATTGTTGCTGCAGCCTGGAGGTGGCCAGGCTGCTTACAGCTGAAACTGATCCCACAAAATTGGTAGATGGTGGCATCAACCTTCTTGAAATTACACTAACCACGGAGTGATTATACATTGGTCCAGTTTCCTGCCAAAATTAAGGAAATTCTATGCACCATGAAGTCAAAAGGTTTGTACATACTTTCAACAATTAAAAAATCTGATAGAACATGCTTTATAACTGACTTTTTTGGCTAGCTATAACTAGCTCAGAAATTTAGCATCAACTCATCTCAGAGAAGATGATATACAGCATATTCTTTTTCTACAGAAGAGATGGAGCAAGATCCTAAAGAGGTCCCCAGAAGTATTTCAGAAGCAACATTTTATTGTTAATTTCTAACATAGCACAGGAGAGCTATCTTTGAAACCAGAAAGTAAGAAAGAGTCCCACTCCAGATATTTATTTAAAATAATTTCAGGATCTGATCCTTGTTGACAATATGTTGGTGTTTGAACTACACATACAATGAAAAAGGCAGGCAGACAAAAACCAGTTTGATTCTCTGTGTGTATTCATAGGGTTTGTTACAATCAAAGGCCATGTTACATTGAAAACACTCTACCTGCCTTTTAATATATTTATTACTTGTTTAGCAATTTGCCCAAATGCCAGATTAGGTTTTGTCCTTCCTCTTTGACAGGATAAAGTATCCTGAAGTGAAACTTAATAAAATTATCACTTTATAAAATATAAAATGATCCTAGCATACTTGGAATCAATGACAATTCCCCACTAATTTCAGAAAGCAATCCTAGACCCTGAGTAAGCATCCCAGGAATCATAGGATGGCTCAGAGAAACCCTTTGAGGTCCAAAACAATGAAAGGGGGATTTAGATGTCTGCCTCTCTGAAGTCATAAAGTCAACTTTGGAGAGGGGAAAAAAGGCACATTCCAGCAGACAAAGGGGAAGAGTGGGGAGGCTAGGATATGATTTCCCCTCAGCATTATTCCCTTCCATTGCAGAATGTCCCTGCTAGACAAACTGAAAAGCCCATCTAACAAAAATACAGGAAACTGGGAGACGGGGAAGCAAAGATTACCTTGACAGCTTTTTCTATCTTGCCTGTTTCATCCCAGCAGGCACAGAAATCTTGTAAACCTCCAAGTTTGGGTGCATTTGAGCAAAGCGGCCCCTTGGATGGTGCCTTTAGGTTGCAATCCTATACCCACCTATGTAGGAGTAAGCCTCACTGATCTCTAGTTCTGAGTGGATATGTACAGGATTGAACTGGTACAATTTTGCTCAATCTCTCTTACAAATGTAAACAGTTTTTCAGTTCAAAGAATGTGGACGATGTTTTTGCACCGAAATATTTCCTTGTATTGTAAATCAAATTGTTATTGTATAAAAACATTTTTCAGTATTGTAAGTAGAATTGCTGCAATTACATCATAGGCCAACATTTTTAAGAAGTTGTTTGCTAGTAAGAAAACTAACTTCCTGGACTTAACTGTCTTGAACAAAACTTTTACAAATTTAGTCATCTTTCCCTGTTCAAGGCCAGGTAATAATTCTCTAGATTATCAGATATCAAGGAACAACAGTGAGGGAAGAGTTCTTCCACTCTTTGGTAACTTCCCATGGGTAAACTGTCCAGCTAGGGACTGAGTATTGAATTAAATGCACCTTTGCTCTGATAGAAGGCAATATGCGGGTTTCATTCTCCAAATGACTAATTTAATGGGCACTGAATGGCAAAAGAATTGCAAGTGTAGCTGGGCACAATTTTCACTGTAAAAATTTTACTGTCACACCATTATATTTTTGCTAATGTAAGAAACATGGCATAATGATTGTTCAAAATACCATTAGTGAAACATGAAACTAGACATTTCTTTTATGATGGGCAAAATTAGATGAAAGCAAAGATCTTGCTTTATTTTATACTACCATTTATACTTCATCACTGCTGTGAACTGATTTTAAATAAATCAAGTGCAGTTTTTAAAAACTGAAAATACAACCTGTATTCATGAAGAGACAGGGAAAATGGCCTATCAGTTCATTGACTTGAGTGGCTCAAAATGCATGGCAGTCAAGTTCAATACAGTTCTTAACACCTAAAAAGCATAACAAAAGGAGCCTCTCTTGTTTAGCCATCAGAACACATTGCAGAAGGATGGTTTCCTTGTTCACCTGACACACTTCACTTCCTCTTAGGCATGCTGAAGAGCTATATCCCTTTCACATTTTTGAAAAGCTTCTGAAGTGAGCACAATGCTGCAGCATTTCAGCTATACATCTTCTTTTAGTCAAGCTTAATTCTCAGCCATTACAAAAGCTATGTTTATTAATTAAGGACCAGGAAGTGAAAGAGACTTCTTGAACACTTTAAACCGTTCTGAAAAGCCTGGATATGGTGGAGGTGGGCCATCATAATTGCCTCTTAATGCCACTGCTTGTTCATAAGTTGGCAATTCTATGGATTCTGCCTGTGGAGAGTGAGGATTTAAGGACAATTCTTCATTTCTTTGGAAGACAATAGAAGAGTTACGCCTCCTACAGCTTCTCTGCCTAAAATAAAAAAGAACATTTTGATGAATGAAGGCACTTTTAAAACTATCATTATATAGCTTTTGGGGACAGCGGCAGTACCATGCGAGTATATGCATCAATGGTGTCATATTGGCATGTGCTGCAAAGTGCTGTGCTTGCTGGACCAAGACAGCAGCAGCATACCATTCTAATTTAAAGCATAATTTCTCCAATTTTGGGAGAATGGCAGCAAGCTAAGCTAGTCAGATCACAGAATCGTAGATTTGGAAGGGGCCAGGAGGCTATTGGGTCCAACCCTCTGCTATTGCAGGACACTAAGTAACACCATCCCAATCAGATGCCTGGATAGACCGTTTTTGAATGTCTAGTGAGGGCAAACCCACAACTTCCCCAGGTAATATATTCCATTGTCATACTGCTCTGACAGTGAGGAAATTCTTCCTGGTGTCTCTTCCAAATCTGGTTTCTTTTAACTTAAAATATGCTGCCCCTGGGGTTCTGCAGCAAGGGAGAGGACCAAAACAGTGAGGAAATGAACTGAATCTGAGCAGCCCACATGCTCAGTCTACCAGTACTTGTGATAGCCATCCCTACAATAACCTTTGTAGGGATGGCTATCTCATGTGTTCAACTTGCTCTGACTCCCAAAATTGGGACACTTGAGATGTAAGAAGAGTGTGCATGGCCTTAGTTTCGAATCAGCAAAGCTATTTTTTGCAGCACACGTCAGCACCCATTCCAGTTATACAAAAAGGAGGGAGGTGGAGATGGGGAGAAGACTGCTATCACTACCAACTGGTTAAAAAAGGGTGGACTAGGCAGAGAGGAAGAAAGCACGGTTGGTCAATTGCAATAAAGCCTTTAGGAAGCTGATTGCAGCCCCTGGGCCACAGGTGTGCACCTCTAACCTAAAGCTTCCCAGAGAAGAGACCAAGACCATCTGGGGCTTTGAGGAACCATTTTTGTTTCATTAAGTAGTGGTTTATTTGCCCTTGCCCACAACACAAATATACTGATCCCCACAATGTGGAAGGGGACTGTTCCGGAGCACTCTTTTTGCACTTTGCTTAAGTATGTAGATCAGCAACAGATTGTAGCAGCACATAGTTTCCTAATAATAATTAAAATGGAAGGCTAAAAAAGGAAAGGTTCTTGAAACAGCAGTCCTCTAGAAATGATGCAGTCAGACAGGCCTGGACCATGTGTGCTGATGGCACAATTTGCTAATGACTAGCATCACCACTTTTCCAAACTACAACTAGTAACATTTGCATTTTTGAGAGCAGTAATTGGCCTTTACTGATGGTTATGATCCCTAGGATATGGAATTGACTTCCATGAGAGGTGAGGGGGGGCGACATCAGTGGGGGTGTTCAAGGAAAGATTGGACAACCACATGTTGGGTATTACACGAGCAGAGCTGGCTGGAGCTGGGGGACAAACTAGATGTCCTGGGCGGCCACTTTTGAATTGCTATGTTTCTGTGAGGAAATACAGGGAATGATAATTAAATGTGCAGATGATACTAAACTGGGTGGGATAGTAAACACCATCAAAGTCAAAAAGGAGATCTAGAGGACCTAGACAAACTTGAATGCTGGGCAGAAAACAACAGAATGAAATTCAACAGGGACAAATGCCAAGTTCTCTACCTAGGCAACAAACAAACAAACTGCAGCTGCATCAATACAAGATGGGGGACACTCGGTTCAACAGTACTGAAAAAGAAAAAGACCTTGGAGTTGTTATAGACAAGTTAAATGCAAGCCAGCAATGTGATAGCTGCAAAAAAGGCAAACACTATTTTGGGATGCATAAATAGAGGTATCACTTCCGGAAAATTACTCATTCCTCTCTACTCTTATGATAAGAGGCTGAAAGAACTGGACCTCACCAGCCTTGAGAAAAGAAGACTACAAGGAGACATGCTAGCACTCTACATGTACCTCAAAGGCTGTCACAAAGGAGGAGGAAAGAGCTTTTCTCACTCATCCCAGAGTGTAGGACATGGAACAATGAACTTAAATTATCTGGTTCAGGCTAGACACAAGGAAGAAATTCCTAACTGTTACAGCAGTTGCCAAGAGAAGTCATGTGCTCTTCCACACTAGAGACATTCAAGAATCAGCTAGAAAGTTATCTGAGTGGGATGTTGTAACTGTACTAGCAGATGGTTGGACCCGATAGCCTTCTTGGCTCCTTCCGACCCTATTATTCTATGATTTTATTCTATGAAAACATCAATATTATAGCTACAAACTTATTCTAGAAATGCTTTCTAACTTGTGCATACAACAGATCTATACCCTCTCCTTTCCTCGTTCTCTCCCACCACCTTTATTGCCTCCCAGACTCATTTCAAGGACATTGCAGAATTTTCCATGGTGACTGTGGTGAATGTGAGTGGTTCCATACTTGGATTTCCATCCCCAAGATTGTAGTTGTGTCTGCTGCTTCAGGGAAGGAAATTCACACTATCCTGTGATCCTAGGACAGCCTCCCAGGGATCTGAGGATTACCCTGCAAAAAAAGCACCTCCAGTTCCCTTTTCATTTTTTTTTTTTAGCTTTAAAATGTTAGTACTCATTAGTTAGTAGACATAGGAATGACAGAATACATGGAAAAACAGTGTGGCAAAAGTGCTGGACTAGAACTTGGAAGATCCAGATTCTAGTCCACTCTTGGCCCTGAAGCTCATTCGGTGACTTTGAGCCAGTCAATGACTCTAAGCTTAACTTACATCAGAAGCTTATGAGGATAAAATTGAAAGGGGGAGGAGTATTATGTAAGCCACTCTGGGTTCCTGGCAGAATAAAGATCAGATAGAAATATAACAACATAAATCAGTATAGTTGTCTTAATGAAGATTCTGCACAAGTTATGAATTTGCTACTATGAGACTACTATAGGCAGTTTCTTATGACCCTTGATTTGGTGCCCCTTATTTTCTGGAAGGTGCTGTAATTAGGTGCTCGAATATTTGCTTTACCAGAAAAACGATCCCAGGTACAATCCCTGGCATCTCCTAATAGGACTGGTGCCAGTCAGTGAACAGACAATACAAAGTAGACTAGTTGTTGCTGGTCTGACTCTGCAAAAGGCTACCTCCTACATGCCTATTTGTTCTTCCCTACCAATGCATATGCCTGATCTTACCTGTCCTGAATGTTTGTTTTATTGATATTCATATGGAAACTCTATTAAGCTCCCAACTATTTTGTATGCCTAATCTCCATCCATATCATATATTATTTGACATGAGATGACCAAAATCATACTAGGACTTTTTTATAAATCATGTCTCATAGTTGTCCAAAATCAGGCCACCGTAACATCAACAGTGTATTTGTTCCAGAAGATTCAGTTGTTCAACACAGATGGATCATATGATAAATCATATTTTGGTCACTTAAAAAAATGTGCTAACATGCCTACACATCAGAACCTGCACAGCACAAATCCAAACAGGACATGGTTGACAAATCCAGTAAACAGCAGTTTGTTAAGGGTGCAGACACCATTGATGCCAATTCCCACATTTTATTCCTTACTCTGGCAGTCTTGGTTTGCATCTTCTTTGGCAGAGATAATAAATAAGTAATCCAGTTATAACCAACAGTACTCCAGTTGCAATCAGTCCAGTCAAAAGTCCCATAACATCAATCTTCTCCATTGCACGCCCATCTATACAGAAGTCAAAATGATTAAATGTATTCAAATACTGTGCATTGTTTTTTGATTTATGCCAGGTCACTTCCTTAACCCAAAACTATCTTAAACATTAATATGTATACTAGTTTTTAAAATTGCCTCCTGAAACTGTTTCTAATTTATACAACAGATTTATAAGTGAAATTTCTTCGCAAGAACACACATTTCAGGAGAAATCTTCTATATTTCACTCAGATCATCATATACCCTGTACATTAGGAGCAGACAATCTCTTTTGGTTTAGGGGTCAAATTTGTACCCTGCCCACACAGACCAAGTCAGCAAGCTGGATAATAGGAAAGTCTAGGCCCATCCTGAAGCCTGTCCCAGTCTGCCAACATGCAGCATGACCCACTTTTCCTTTCTCTCTGTAGAGAGAGGTGTGGTGAGCCATAACTTTCCATAAAGTACCAGTGTAGCAAAGCACCTTTTTCTTCGGCTGTTATGTCAGTTGGGGCACAGGGAAGGGCTTGGCAAACACCTGCTGAGTAGATTGGATAGAACATGAAGAGTCCTGTCCCTTCTTTCCTCTCCATGCCTGCAGTGGCCTCTGCCCCACAGACAGGGATTTGGGAAGAGAGCTGAGAAGGGTGACTATCCTTTCATGGGCTGGATTGGAGGCCTTTATTGGCTACAGGCTGCAGGTTCCCAACTTCTGCATTTCATGAAGGCCCAGATTTAATGAGGAGCAGCTCTTGGATTACAGTAGTACAATGCATGAGCTACTAAATCAGTGACATTTTGCATTTCCTTTTCTATCATGATACTATCTATGATTCCCCAAGTGTACTGTATAATTAGAGGATTAACATGCATTGTACAGTGCCACGTGGTATCTCAGAACTAGATACACTTCACTAGAGTATTATTTATTTATTGGATTTTTATCCCACCTCCTTAGCCATAAGGATCCCTGGGCAAGTTATAAATTTTTTAACATACAATAAAATACAACTAAAAATAACAGTAACATCTAGCAATCTGCAAGCAAAAGCATGCCACTGTAAAAACTTCACAGAGCCATAGATTCTACAAAACCAACATGAAAGGCACAACAATAGATAACAACCAGATATAAAATATTAAAAACATTCAAATCATTCAAATAATTAAAATATTGGAAAAATAAAAAGGTCGTTGTCTGGCATAGAGAAGAATACAAAGAGGGTGCCAGGTGAACCTCTCTGAGGAGCTGGTTCCAAAGTTGGGGTGCCACTGCCAAATAGGCCTTTCTTCTTGTAGCCACCCTCCTTATACCTGAGGAAGTTCTCCTTCATTATAGGTTTTCCTTCTGCTCCAGACCCAATAAAGTAATGCCTTTAGTTGAAAGGTAAAGAGTGAGGTCCCATTGTGCAAGAAGAAAAAGAATTCTTCAGAGATATATCTGAAGATATCTCTGAGATATCAGAGATATAAGAGACAAAAAAATATTGTAGATATGGCATCAAGAGCATTCTGACAAGGAGTTATCCTGTTGCACCTAGACATCTAGTATACCAAAGAATACTTTGGATTTCCAGATCCCAAGCTAGAAACAGAGGTCGAGCCTCAGGGCTGGGGATCCTCACTCCCATCTCTCTCAGATCCTTGCACCCAAGTTTGGGAACTTGATCTTGGGAAGGGGGTAAAGGAACAGTTTAGCAAATGGGAAGAGGAGGCCACAGGGGTTGTCAAGCTACAAGTTATCTTGGGCGCATTCCAGCTTCCTGCCCTCTTATTTTGAAGCACCTACATGGACAAATATAACCAGCTAGATTTATCATAGAGTGGGAGATGTAAGGAAACATAGATTGCCCTCACTGTTTCTCTGGTTCTGCACTGGATGCTCCCAAGCCTCTGAGTGTGGAGGCTTACCAGAACTGAGTTTGCTCTTATAAATGACTGTAAATAACATGCTTTAATATCTGCAATAAAGAAAGCAAAAAGCTTGGGTTTTAGATGCTAACATTATTGATATATTTTGAAGGATATGTATTTGTATCTCAATTGTATGTATTTATGTTCTGTTAAAAAAAATAAAAAAGGGGGTGGAAAGAAAGCAAAAAGCAGTAAGATCTGTCGTGAACTTTTCTTACCTGTCTTTGCACCCGAACCACTTAAAGTATATTCCTTCCAAAAAGACATCTAGGACAAGAAATGAAAATATATTTGAGAACACATCTACAGGAGTGTAATCAAGTCAAAACAAAAAATACACACCCTAAAAATCATTTAAGAAATTAATTTTTCCTGACATTACAAGAGTTACACCTATTAATTCTGGCTGGATCTTTGTTAAAGTTGTTTAAAACCAGCATTACATATGAATATTAATAAATTTTCCATTTCAACAAACATTGGCATATTAAAAATTGCTTTAAGAGAATGGTAACATGTTTTTAGTTGTGTATAATTCATGACAGAAAAAAAAGTTTATTAGCTAGACAAATAACTGTATTCTACTGAAAATTTTAGAGACTGATAAATATTAATTGATGCTTATGTAAGTAAAAAGTTTATTTTACTAGCCGCTTATTAGAATATAAATTTTACACTATGATTTTAAATCAAGTTTATTTGAATGTCATGCCAAGTCACATGATTATTCACTGCATGTTACAGCTAACAGATGCTGACTTTATCATGTGGCCAGGATATTGTGCTCGATTATATGACTGCACAATATGTCAAAAGGTACTTCTTTTAAAATGCATGTATTTTAAGATGGAAGCTGAAACACACTGTGGATAAGGTAAGTGTATGATGCAGTATGTAACGTTCTCTTTGGAAATAATGGATTTAAGTCTTCCCACAGCCACATTGTGAGCATTTTGACAATTCTGTTTACCAAAAAAAGAAAAGCTACACTCATCCTGCAAAGCTGCCCCCCATATCCATTATATGGAAATAGAACAGTGTGCTAATCTTAATCGAGTGACAAAAGTGTGAGGGATACAGAGTTATCAGTAGATTTTTCTATATATTAGATTATTAGTGTTCCGAACAAGTGGTGCCTTCGGTCTCTACACAATAGTTCAAACAAATTAAGAATGGTTAGCCCTGTGCTAAGTGAGGAGGAACAATCCCTTTCTTGCTGGTGCCAGTAAACAACATTAGCATTGTGTCTTTAAATGTCTTTTGGCCCAGTTATCAAGCAATAAACACATACTGTTGGAAATCATCTTTTATACCTCTTCTTTATAATACACTAATGTAAAGTAATTACTGTTTTTTTTAAGTCTCCAAAATATTCTCTTGCTTCCTCAAAATCACATTGTTCTTCATAGCACTCTCTTTCAAGATTCCCTTGGATGAATAGTTCAAAGTCAAATCTGTTGTAGAGAAGACACCGTCCAATGAACAACTTGGCTTTCTCTGTTGAAATGAACACTGGCGAAAATAATTAAAACTATATATCAGAAACAAAGGCATGGCATTAAAAAACCCCAGTAACTTATAAATACCCAGGATAAAAGATACCTGAAAAACCCTAATTCTAGTTTGTACATTATAAAACACACCAACACACACAGAGGAATCCTGTAACTACAGTCACACACAAGTCACACACAGGTCAGCAGAACTATGCTGCTTCTCAGTGACAAAATATTTATGAAATCTTCCATGATTGCGCAACTCAGACAGGATGTTGTACAGTCCTGATGGCTCATATCTTATTTCTTTCATTTTGTCATGACAGTTTCAGATTTGTCAGGAGGGTGACTACCCAGAGGAGGGCATTCTCTGCAGTGGTGCCCCGGCTGTGGAACATGCTCCCAGAGAGGTTCACCTGGTACCAACACTTCTTTCAGCATCAGGTGAAAACCGTTTTATTCTCCCAATACTTTAATTGTTAACTCGTTTTAATTGGTGGTTTTATACTTAATATTGGATGCTGTGCCATTTCTACTCTTATTTCTATTTTTATTCTATTTTATTCATGGAGTTGTAAACCGTCCCAAGACATCTGTAATGGGACAGTATAGAAAAGTTTTAAATGAATAAATAAATGTGTGTGCATTTTAGCTGGGCCTAAGAGTCAGAACATTTCAGTTTGACCAACATGTATTATGATTTAGTATTTACCTATAGAAAAGACTGTACAAATTTTAATGTCACTGTCACAACAATCTACCTGATGGACTTAAAAATGTCTGCTTAAGGGATATGGTATCTGAGTTTGAATGTAAACTTAAATTCTCCCCAAGACTCTTCCTAAATGGCAGATTTGAGACTCACCAGCCAGCCATAGTTCCTCTGTGAATGAGTTTCCAGGGAACAGGACACTCCAACTGAGATGACATTATTTACCCTGCCCTTGTTGGCTTTAGTCTCACAGTAGTTCTCACAAAAGGAAGCAGGAACATGCTTTGATCCAGCTAGAATTTTTGTTTCCTCTTGTTTATTTTGTGAGCCTTTCCTTCACATTTTCTAGCTGCTCCGGCTTCCTGGTTACCTTTTGCCTTTATTTTCTGGTCTCAGTTATGTCTCAGTCCTTCTTGCATGTAATCCTGCTTGTGTTTGTCTCCTGTCTAGACCTAATTAAAATCATGTTCAAATTGTGCAAAGCCTTATCCCCCAATGGTGATAATGTAAAAATCCAGGAATTGTGTATATTAGACAGAAAGAGACACAAATGGCTCAAGGAGGAAGGTCACATCAGGTACAGTTGTGAGAATGCTCCCAGTCCCAAGATTCTGCGGTGTGCTACTTAATAAGATTCTGACTATAATCGACAGGTACAGTTCCTGAGCCAAAGGACAAAACATCTCTTCTGTACATCTCTTCATTCCATGTACAGAAGCTGACTGGATTGGCAGTTACATTTTACTTCAAGCAATAGAAGCATCTTTCATCATAGTTGAGATACCAGGCTAGTTTATGGGCCCAAAACAGGTTGTGTGGCATATGTAACTCTTTATTCCAATAGAGGGGAACAGCCAGGGAGTTTCAGAAGAATTACTGAAAGGCTGCCCCTGACGTCCCCCTCATTTGTCACTGGAAGTGATCACCACACTCTGATATCAGCCCTGGCCCCCTCGTAGATCAATGGCTGAGTACATAAGCTGCATGCAGAAGGTTCTAGGTTCAGTCCTTGGTGGAAAATTCTCTCTCTGAAGTGCAGCAGTTCCACTGCCAGTCAATTATGTCAACAATAATCTGAGTCAATATTAAGACACCTTTCTACTTTGGATTCTTTTAAATGCATCTGACAGCTCCCAGCCTCCTAGTGTCTTGCTATTTGATAACTATTTAAGAGAGGGCAGGGGGAGAGATAAGTAGTTATGGGTATGGAAAGACAATCCTGTCACAAATGCCAGTAAAATTAAAATTACTCTTTATTGTTTCGCAGGGGAACCATATCAGACAAAGTGGTGGAGAGCCCAAACTCACTGTGGTACATCATCAGCCCCCAACCATGCTTCTCTTCAGGGGTCCAGCTAGTTTGGCAAAGAAGCCTTGCAGTGTTGCTTCAGGCTCACAGAAGTCTCCTACTTTCTTGCCCACCGTGTTATATACTATTAAAGGACTCAATGTTTAGAAAAAGTCTGCTGCCCCACATTTCACTCTTGCTATGAATCAGTGTGAGGAGTTGTCTAAAGAGAAGAAAGTAGAAAGATGGCACTTTAAAATATTTGAGAACTAAAATCCAAAGCACTCCAAAATTTTCATATGAAGTAAGGCAGAAAAGTTATGAGCTTTTTGCTCTAGTTTCAGTTTCTGAATGAACACTTTGTTGTTAGATTTTATTTATGCTAAAAGTTAAAGTTTTCTCAAGGCAGCTCTTAATTCTTCAGGTGAAGTGGGGAATGGCGTAAAGGATTCACAAAGTTTTCTTTTCAGATACAAGGGAAAAATGACTGAGAAATTTTTATCAGTATACATAAACAATCTGTAAGTACTTGAAGCTCACAGGTGTTCATCAGGATATTAATATTATCTTTAAAGAAAAAAGGACTTAGTGATCAATTTCTATGTTTCCTTCTTGCAGGGCTCAATGCCAAACTGAAAGCTACTTGACTACCAAGGTTTAATAATGGGGGAGGGGGGGGAAATAATAATATGGTTATATAAAATATAAAACACCTTTTGCAAAGATTAGGTAGTGAACTTAGTGAATTAACGTAATGTACTGGGCTTGCCATTCCAATATTACATTTCAAATATGAACATAACAAATGTATTAAAAAAAACAGAACAAGTATTCTCCTGTTCCGAAAGACATGATTGCTCTGGGAAAGCCTTTTCAAATTAGAGGAGAAATGCTACCTCCATTCTAAAGAAATTTATGTCCATACAAGACATCAACACACCTTTTGTTACACTGAAGACTGGGAAACTATAAAAACAAAGCAACCCATAAGCATAAGCTCTGTTTAATAGGATCTTTATGTAAATCTCTTTACCATTTTGCATGATATAAGAAGGTAAAGTCTCTATGGCTGCATTAAATGGTTTATACATGTTAATATACATTTATACATTTTAAATTAAACATTTTAATTTATACAATATAAATAAATAAAATGGCCAAGATATTAACTTGGGCTGTTTTTATTATTATTAATTTCATACAAAGGCAAAAGCCACTTACATTGAGGCAATTAAAAAACTTGAAAATATTCTGCAACTCATTGGCTTGGTTCACATGCTGGGTTAAATAAACAACTCCTAAAATGCCCTATGTGCACATAACTGCTTAATCCAGGCAGTGACCAATCATGGGATGCACCATAAAATGGAAAAGGTTGATGAGCTACAGGCAGTATGACTTTGACAAACCATACTTTTCAAACTAATGGCATGTTGTAATCATGGGTTGTTGAATTCCAGGTTGTTAAAAAGAACGCTGCACAATGGTTTAACCATACATTGTTAACCAGAACCAATCCAGGAAGAGAACCCATGAGTTCGTTCTTGAGTGATCCCATAGTTGCATCATAGAGCAGGGTTCACATGTGTGAACAATTCACAGTTCAACAAAAATCAGCCTCTCAAGACACCTGCCAATGATGTTAAGATGGCCATTCTTGAATAAAGGAATATCAAAGACAGATGAACACAAAATTGCTAAAGTATAATGCATCAAGAGAGTAAACACTATTTTGATTAAAATAAGGACAAAGGTGTTGTTTTAAATCATATATATAGTATATCTCAGTTCATCACTGATGATCAAAGATGAACATCACTTAATGATCAAAGATCATCAAAAACAACTGTAAATGGCAACCATTGACCTAATCATTGCTGCCTGCATTTAAATTCCCTCTGATAACACAGTTTGTCTACCACTCCCAGGATGTGTATATAAATTTGCAAATTTAAGGTTCACACTTCATACATCTGAAGAAGTGGGCCTCATTTACAAAAGCTTGGGCCAAAATATAGTAGTTAGTCTTTAAGGCTGTACAAATAAAGTTTTCTAAGAGCACTGGGTTAGAAGTTATTTCCTAAATAAAACATTTCCAACTTGGTGCTCTCCAGATAGTCTGCAACTCCCATGCTAGTTAATAATTATGGAAGTTTCACTCCAACAGATTTGGAAGGTACTGGGGAAGCCTGTTTTAAACTTTAGCCTATCTTCTATGAAGCTGGACACTTTGCTTCTTATCCTGCAAATACCACTATATTGTTTCCTTTCATTTTTGCAAAGCATAGACTTGAAAGAATTACAAAATCTCTCATTCCTATCTTCAGTGGCTTACAATGCTTTAACCTGCATTTCAAACAGTAATCTTTAGCTGGTAACCTAAGATATAAACAAAATCAGCACTATAATTTCCCCCTCCATAATCACATGCAATGGTATGGGCTTGAGAACACCCTTGAGAAAACGCATCACTATTCACTGTCAGATAGTAAAAATAAATGTTACTTATGACTATATGGCAAATTATGTCACTTGAGCCATCTAAGGTGGGGCTCAAAAAGTGTTTAAAAACAGCCTTTACAATCCAAAACACAGAATGCATCATGTGGAGTGAACCATTGTCAAATTATGTGGGACTGGAGAATGTCAAGCTCAAGCAAGTTTGAAAAAGGAGGAGCCTGGTGATGGATTGATATGAGCTATTCTAACAGGAAAATGACATCACAAAATGGCATTTTCCTGAAGTTCTCTCTTTCTTATAAAAGGCATTCTCATGTGTGTAGAACTGAGACATACCCAGGGAACATTCATTAATTGCAAAGTAATGTCTTTATAACCATGGAAGGATTACTGGGAAACCACATGGAAACATTCTCCTGTTTAAAAACGAAAGCAAAACAAAAACCAGCATGAGAGAATAATGATTTTGGTGGAACCAAGAAAGAGACAGAGACTGCAAAAGTACTTAGATCTCCGAGTGCTGCAAATACAACTGATCTGGGAGACTGGTAGCCCAGCCATCATCAATCTGGTATCCTCCACCTCCCAGTATCCCTGACCACTGGCTATCCTTGTTGCGGCTGATGGGTGTTGGTAAAACCACTAGTGAGTTGTTGGTGAATTTCAGGTACAGCTTGTACTATATTAAGCACAATGGTGTTCTGGCAAAAGTTAAAAGGCATGCCCACATTCCTGGTTGTGTGAGGGTAACCAGAAACTATTATGGCCCAATATCCATAGTGAAACATGTTTGGAATTTAGATAACTTATCTTTACCTTTCTGATCTATGTTACAGAATCTATGACTATTGACTCTTGCAATAAATTCATTCAATTTCATATTACATGTAAAAATTGACTTCTTGAACTCTGAGCCATCTTGGGCAATAGTATCTGGACTGCTTATCCCCCATACATTTATGACAATGAGGCTTAAAACATACAAATCATAATTTTTACACTTCTCATTGTTTTTCTCCTTAATATTGTAAACAGCCTCATAAGACCATAACAGCAATCATCCTGGATCACAGAAAAAGTTCCTATCTAGACCAGCATTTTAATGGCACAGTGGCTAACCAGCTACCCTTGAGCTGGCCAATCCCCCTTTAAAGCCATCCAAACTGTGGCCATGACAACATCATGGGGAAGTGAATTCCATAGTTCAATTACGTACTGTGTGAAAAAGCACTTCATTTTATCTGTCCTGAATTTTATACCTATCAGCTTCACCGGATCACCCTGGGCTATTATGAGCAGAAAATCTCACCATCTTCCTTCAACATACCATACATATTTTTGTACCCCTCTAATCATGTCTCCCCTTGCTCACCTTTTTTAAGCTAAACTATTTCTGCTGCTGTAACCTGTTCTTACAGAGTTCCTCCAGGCCCTTGATCATTTTAGTTGCCCTTTCTGCAATTCCTTTCTGGTGCTATGACCAGAACTGCGGTGGCTTTCTCTGTGGTGGTGCCCCATCTATGGAATGTGCTCCCCAGAGAGGTCTACCTGGTGCCGTTGTTGTTTGTTTTTCGGCGCCAGGCTAAGATCTTTTTATTTAAAACTTATTTTAATTGTTAATTTATTGGTATTTATAGGATTTTAAATCTTTTAAGTCGAGATGCACCGGGTTTTAGTATTTTTATTGTATAATTGTTATATTGGTATATTTTGTTTTTGTTGTGAGCCGCCCCGAGGCTTTGTTGTGATGGGGGCGGCATAAAAATGCTTTAAATAAATAAATAAACTGTACACATTATTCTAAGCACGGCTTCAGTACAAATTTGTACATGAGCAGTGTGATCTTGGCAATTTTATCTTTCATTTTTTTGCTAATTATGCCTAACATGGAGTTTGTTTTCTTATACAGCAGACATGAACTGGTATGACATTTTCATCAAGCTGTTCATCATAACTCCAATAATTCTTTGTTGATCAATCACTGCTAGCTCAGATAACATCAGTTTATACTAAAAGTTGGGGTTTTTTGTCTTTTCCGGTCCCAACATGCATTACTCTACAATTGCTTACAGTTTGTTCCCCTTTCTCCTAGTGTGGAGAAATCTTTTTGGAACTTCTCATAATCCCTTTTCATTTGAACTAGCTTAAATGATATTGAATCATCAAGAATTGTGGCCACTTCACTCAATTCCAGATTATTTATGAAGAAAGTTGGTCTCAGTACAAATCCCTGTAGAACCCCACTATTTACATTCTTCCTCTGGAGCTCCTTGCAGTCCCTTTTTCTTTTAACCACCCTAAGTAATAATTTCTATAGACAATATTTAAATCAGTGCTTTATTTTACAAGGTAAATCTTATTTATAAAGTTACCTTCTTCCACTGTGTCCTTTGAATCTTTTAATTGTCTCGAACAGTGAGGAAATGCAAATAATGTTACCAGGAGCTGGAGCAGCAACAGGTGAAAAAAGAACATAACCTAGTGCTGTCGAGAAATTGTGAATAGATTAGTCACCCTGAGGATTAAAAGTCAACTAGCTATACTCAACATCAGTCACAAGTCTCCACAAGACTTTTGGGTGAATGTTGCATTAGAAACTGGTTGCAGGCCTCCCAAAAACCAGTCTAGCACGTAGATCATCATGGTTGCATAACATTAATTACATGGATCATTTCCAAGAGTGGAAACCAGAGAAAAAGTGCAAAACAGGATGGCACATGTAAGGATCTATGCTGTGTGCCCATGTATGCCTTGGGTTGCTAGCCAAGCACAGAATCTTGCTAAGGGAAGTTAACAGGCTGACAAAATACCAAACTATAGCAAGTATCAATGATTACACAGACATGAACCCTCACATATCCACTGGCACAGTTGAAATCAGCATTATGAATGAAAGTCATTAGGACTGACAGATCTGATTAAAGCAACAGCAGAGTATATTATCACTCCTCTTCCTCCACAGTCATGCCATGCCACTGAAGTCCCTTCAAGAGTAATTCTTTTGGAGCTACTGTCCCAGAAATGCCAAAAGTCAAAGCTTTGTTGCAACTTTGGCTCTTTCTTGGAGGACACAAAAGCTTTATTCAGCTAGCCAAAAGGAAACTGACCTATTTTAAAAACAATGGTCTTGGAACCCCTCAAACCTAACTTTTGCTCACTCTTTCAAGATAACTAAATCAAAAAGCCCATCTCGATTTAACGCCACTGCTTCCAGTGATGTTCTCGGCCCATTGGTTTGCCGCTTCAGAGATTTTAGTTTCCTGTTTTTATTGAATTTTTCTTTCGACTGCTGAAAGTTTAAGCCACCCAGGGAGTTGCTGGGAGACTTATACAATAATGAAGACGAAGGAAACAAATCGAGAAAACAAAAACGAAACAAATAACGAGCGATCGCACCCGTGCTCGTTTTTTTTTTTTTTTGGTGGGGGGCAGCGAATTTCCTCATCAAGAAAGACGCGCTTTGCCGAACCTAGGTCCCAAACTACCTTAGTAAGTTAAGGGTAGTGATAGTCCAAGGACGCTGAACTCGAGAAAGAACACATTGGAAACTTCAGTCGCTTACAGAATACCATGGTCTCACCAGCAACCATTTTCCCCCAGCGTCCATCACCCGCCGAAGAACAGCTCTAATTCAGCCACTTCATGGAAGCAAGCTCTCTCCCTCTTTCTCGTTTCTGGATTTTCCTTCCTTAAAGCGACTCCTTCCCTCGCATTCACCTACCTGCGAAGTTCAAGACACAAACTCCAGAACTCTTCTTCACTCACTCACTCACTCCACTCCACTCCGGTGGCGCTACGTTCGGAGTCGCCGCCAATTGCCTGTCCCGGAGTTCTCCGAGCGCTTGAGAAGGGCTGGGATCATATGACCTCACCCTTGCTGCTTGCTGCCTTGGTAGCCGCCCACCCGAATTGCGGGTGAACTGGTGAGCGTGCAAACGGGAGAGAGTGAGGGCTAGGCAGCAGGGGTGTTCCAACCAGCCGGGGTGGTGCTAGGTTCCGAAGAGATTCCAATATCAGGTCCGCGGGGCCAAAAAAAATAAAATAAAAAGCACACATATTTGAATATGCTAAACTTCCTACGCGGGTCTTTAAAGGACCCTGTTTCCTAAAAACATCCCAATTTGTAAAAAGGTATAGACAGGGGAGAGCAGAGAAAAACCTTCTAGCAGAAAGACTCAGGGAGGGTGTAGGTGCATGTGGGCAAAAAGCCAGCTAATCCAGGGAGATCAGATGGGACAGAAATCATCAGGGGCCCTGTGCCTATATGTCAGCAAGTGCCCATGGATGGCATGGGGGGGGGCAGATAACCTCCGAGAGATCTAGGGCTCCAGCCCTAGTGGGTTACTGGTGTTGGAGTTGAATATCACCTGGGGAGGGGAAAAAAAGCAGCCCATTGTCCTTCCTGTTTAATAGTCTGCAATACAACTAATTTCATCACACCCACCTGAAATCTGGGTAATTGAGGAGAAAAAGTGTTTAACATTTGCTTTTTTGTTCATTTGTCTTTTTGCTTTGCTATTTGTTGTGCTGTAAATCAAAATAAAATTAAATGTATTTATTTAATATATTTACATCCCACCTTTCCTCCAAAGAACCAAGGGTGGTCTACAAGGCCTTGCTATCTTAGCCTTGTAACAACCCTGTAAGGTAGTAGTAACTGATCCAAAGTCACCTAGTTAACTTCAAAGCCATATAGGGAATACAGCTCAGGCTAGCCAAGCACCTCTGCCTAGTAACTAAACTGTGCATCACTACTTGAAGTCTCATCTCACTAATCTTGCAGAGTTGTTTGATTGTGTCAGTAGCATGTGGACATGAGGGGTTTTTTTTACATAGACTTGCTTGTTTATTCTAAAAGACTTGACTTCCAAAAGAGTTTTGACATAGCCCCTCACCAAAGAATCTTGAGGAAATTTAGCAGATGTGGACTAAGAGGAGTTTCCTTACAAATCAGTAATTAGTTAAGGAACAGAAAGCAGATACAGGAACAAAAAGTAATCTCTCAATGGACAGTGGGGTCCTACTGGGATCTGTACTGGGACCAATACCTTTTACCTTCTTCATAAATGATCCAGAGTTCAGAGTGAGCAGCGAAGTGGCCGCATTTGCTGATGACAGCATATTGTTTAGGGTAGTTGAAATGAAAAAGGATTATGAGAAGCTCCAAAAAGATTTCTCCACACTAGCGGAAAGGAGAACAAAATAGCAAATGAAGTTCAGTATAAGCAAATGTAAAGTAATGCATGTTGGGTCAAAAAATCCCAACCTCACTGATGTGATCTGAGCTAGCAGTGATTGACCGAGATATTGGAGTTGGGATGGGCAGCTTGATGAAAATGTCAACCCAGTTTGTGGCTGCTGTGAAAAAGAAAAGCTCCATGTTAGGCAGAGAAGAGCAACTAAAATAATGAAGGTGCTGGTGCAATTCCCCTATGAGGAAAGGCTGCAACAGCTTACAAAAAAGACAAGTGATGGGAGACATTACAGAGGTGTACAAAATTGTGTATTGTGTGAAGAAAGTGGAAAGGGAGACATTTTTCTCCTTTCATAATTTTAGAACCTTGGATCATCTCATGAAGCTTATTAATGGGAGATTCAGGAAAGATAAAAGGAAGCTGTTCCATGCACAGTGCATAGTTAAATTCACTTCCACAAGATACTGTGAGAACCACCAGACTTGGATGGCTTCAAAGTGTGATGGGACAAATTCATAGCAAATAACGCTATTTGTGGCTACTAGTCCTGATGGTTATACATTACCTCAAGTATCTGAGGCAGTCTGCCTATGTACTCTAGTTTCTGGGAACCATGGGTGGAAATGTGCTATTATTGTTTGTTTATTTCATTTATATGCTGCCTAATGCTTAAGCTCTATGTATAGTTAACAATTCATAAAATACAATAAAGCAAAATACATATACAATAAAACAGCATAACATAACATAGAAATTTAAAACAGATATTTAAAATCATTTAAGAATTTTAATACATTTAATAAACTAGACAACTGCAGAGAGATCTATTAATGTTATTAAATGCCTCAGCATAGAGGGCAGCCTTAACTTGATATGGGAAAGAGAACAAAATTGGCACTGGGTAGATCTCAATGGGGAGTTTGTTCCATACTTTGGGGGTGGGGAGGACAGTCTGCCATTGAAAAGATTCTATTCCTTTTTGGCTACCATCTATGCCTCTCTTGAATTGAGCATGAAGGCAAACCGGCAGTCATCGTACAGAGCAACAGAAGCAGAACTGGTCTTATGTGTTCAGACCTACTGGTTATTCATCTGGCTGCTACAGTTTGCACAAAGTGCAGCTTCCGAACAGGTTTCAAAAGAAATTCCAGCTAGGGTGCATTGCAGTAATCTAAATTAGAGATTACTAGAGCATAAATGATTGAAAACAGGCCATATCTGTCCAGACAGGGGCATAGTTGGGCCATACCAGTTGAAGGTGGTAGAAGGCACTCCCTCCTATTGAGGCCACCTGATGCTCAAGTGACAAAGATGGCTCTTTGAAGTACACTCGTCCAGAACAAGTTGAATACTGTCCATCAGGTCAGAAGAACTAGCAACATTGCCGTCTT